TCTCATAACCAAATCATTTCACCTCTAAACTTTCTTGCATTGTCTCACACATGAGCTTTTGGGGGACACCACATATCTAAACATAACAATAATGAATAACAGTAATTAATAACAAATAATCTATGCACACATATGTGCATTATAGGTACGTGGTAACTTTTTAAGCCATGGGGTTGATAGATTTTTTAAAAATTATGGAGATTGAGGCTTTGGATTTCTTTTCTTTTCTCCATATTTTTATTGATGCATTATAATTAAATATAATGGTAGGATTCATTGTTATATATTCATACATGCACATGATATAACCATATAATAATTGGCTCATATAATTCCCCAGGATTCCCCCTTTCTAGTCCCACTCCCTCTCCCTAATTGAGTTTCTTCTGTCTTTCCTTTTTTCATCTTCCTTTGATTTTCATGGATTTCTCTTATTGAAGATCTTGGTGTGAGATTAAGGCTAGAAATCTATGAAGTATGACTTGAGCCTGACTTTGACTTAATACTTTGCCTAAAGGTGGGGGACATTAGCCAGGAAGACTCTTGGGAAGGTAAACAGAGTGCTGAGTTTGGCAGAACCCAGATAACTGGACCAGGGAAGTTGACTGAGCCAAAAGATAACAATTATCTAGGAAAAGTAAACATGCAGGTTATGGTTTAATTATATTTAAGTTTAATGGAATACTTACAGATGTGACCTGAGTTAATCTAGAAGAACTCAAGAATTCTAGAATACTGGACAAAAGACTGAAAGTGGTGAGAACTAAAGATTCTCCTGAAAGCACAAATTTAACATGTTCATTTTGCATCATCTTAGAGTAACCTCCCAAATAGGTCTGTGCAGTATGGGACAGATAGTTTTAATTTATTTATTTATTTTGTGGTGCTGGGGTTGAACTCTGGACCTCATATATGCTAGGCAAGCACTGTGCCACTGAGCCACATCCTCAGCCCCCAGATAAATTTTAATAGAAGTCTTAGAGGACTGGTTAGCTTTGGGTATGAATGAAAGCCCTGGAAGCTTAAAATTAATAGCCAGAGGCAAGGTAGGAACATCCTGAAATCAAATTGATCCTACCACTTTGCAGAGTCAGTTCTGCCTACATGATATCTAAACTATGGCTAATTCTGACATATGTGGATATTCTATGAGAAATTTTTTTTTTTTTTTTGGTATAGGGGATTGACCCCAAGGGCACCTAACCACTGACCCCAGCCCTTTTTTCCTTATTATGTTTTATTTTAAAACAGGGTCTCATTGAGGTGCTTAGGGCCTTACTAAGTTGCTGAGGCTGGCTTTGAACACGCAATCCTCCCGCTTCAGCCTCCTGAGACACTGGGATTTTAGGTGTGCCCCACCATGCCTGGTGAGAGAAAAGGCTATTAAGAAACTAAGTTTCTTCTGTCTTTCCTAAATGAGAAATAAGCATGCAAGAACAATAAAATTATAAAAAGCAAGTTAGAGGAATTTTCCCTTGTAAGTATCTTTCATTGCAGGACCCAAAGTTTATGTAAACTATAAAAATAAATCCTTTTCTGAACATTTTAAACTGTTTCATTCAATCTCAAATTTAAAATATCCCCCTTCCATTACACTGTATAGGTAACATGCACATAACTCCTCTGTGGCCCTGGTTCATCCAGATTCATTGGTGAAGGCTATGGGGACCACTAAGAACAAAATAAAATGGCAGAGTATAAGTTGACTGCTGAAGGTGAAGTTGAGAGCTGGAGTGGATGTGTCTTTGGGGACAGTGAGCTCAGTTTCCATACTACTGATCCCTAAGGACACAGTGGAAAGGTGACACAGAAGATGATGTAAAGCTCTCAAGAGTGGACACTGTAATCCTGCCCACCTTGCCCCTGTCTCATAAAAAGTACATGATAGGAATGAGTTTTCTGAAGAACAGAAGACTGTACCCCACTCTTGAAAGGCATCTGCCGACACATCCTTCTTAGCAGAGATGCGGCAGCTGCAGGCCAACAACTGTTCCAGAAGGCTTTTTTCCAAATGTGTGAGGCTCTCTAAATTCTGATCAAATCTCTCTAAATTCGATCAAAATATGCTCTCTCAACCCAAAGATTCAACAAGATCAAATAACCAGAGCTATTTAAACATCCGACTTTGGATAACACCTTCCAAGACAGTTAATAAATCTAGCTTGTTTATATGCCCTTTCCCCCTCCCCACCCCCTCACACATACTAGAAGCCAGGAAAATTTGTCTTTCTCCTTAAGCCCCTTTCCTTACCATCCATATGCCAAGTTGACTCAGAGTCAACTTCTAGGTTTGGGATTGTTACCATCTTCCTTAATCCCATAACAGCTGCCTCTCAGTGGTCAAGCTAAATCCATTTAGCTTATGTCTGACTTGTAGATCTTCTGGGGTGGAAAAAAATTTTTTTTAAATAATTCTCATTCTTTAGAACAACTGGTAATAATGAGAAAAACTAATGGGCATCCGTTAGCTGTTAGAAGACACAGCTCCTCTCCTATGCATAATTCATATATGCAAACTGTTGTTAAGGTACCAAATTCACTGTGCAACTGGGCTGGAAAAGTCCCTGAACTCAAGATTACATTGGTATGCACATTTCTGAGTCTTGGTTCTGTTTAACATTTTCATCAGTGACCTGCTTAAAGGAGCAGAGAGCAAGCTCATTAAGTTCCTAGATGGGAGGGATGACCAGAACATTAGAGAACAGGATTAGAATTTCCCCAGCCTTTGCCAAATTAGCAAAACTGTCAGAGCCGAATATGTTCATCAGGGACAGGCAGAGAAAAAGAGAAAAGTAAGCTGCCCAAATGCAAGCTGAGCAGCAGCAAGTTACTTAGAAGAAGAACTGAAAAGAATATAGATGCAAAAATAGGCTCAGGGTGGGAAATGAACCAGCCCTGTGGAGCCTGGTGTTCATTAGAACCTCTGTACACCCTTAAAATGGATTCACATCATCAATCCACAGATGGCAGAAGCGTAAAGCCCTCCCAGATTTCTAAGAATGTCAGGGAGCTTTTCTTTCTCATGAGTACCTTCAGCTTCTTGGTTCTACTTAATTACCCTGGTTTTTGGTTCATTTCACTGTCCTATTTTAGTCACCTTGTTATGAACCATGTTGACACAGACATTAAAATCCATTTTCTTCCCAAGAACAAAAATCATGGCCTCCTGTTGAAGGGCCTTTGTATCACCTTGGTTGTCTTGGCTCTTGTTCAACCCTTCTAACTAAATTTCTACCCCAAGTAACTTAACAAGGTATTTTCCTAAATATAGATAGTTCTCTGCCTAAGAGGAGCTCTGGGACCATCCGTCTGGTAAGTCAACCATGGCAGGTGTCACCTAACAGGTGAGCTTGACAAAGTCAGCAAGCTTTTTTTGTGAAGTGGCAAATAGTAGATATTTCAGGTCTTTGTTGCAACCATGCAGTTCTGATGCTATACCATGAAAGCATTCATACATCATACATCATAAATGAATGTCCAAAGCTGCATTCAGTTCCAGGGTGGGCCATAGTTTCCTAACTCCTGTTAGACTGAATTTTGGAATCTTTGACTGTCAGAGAGACTTAACAAACTTCTTGTCCAATGAGCTATTTTACACCTGCAGAAACCACATCCTAAGAAATAAGAGTGGTATTTAAGCATGCTTGTGAGACAGTTAAATCTGAGTTAAAACTTCAAACTAGAAACATGTGTCCAATCCCCAGGCCAGTGCCCTTTCCATCACTAGGCTATTTCCAGAAGGTTCTAAGGATACCTGCTTAAAGTGGCAGAGCCTCTCTTAGCAATCTTCTCACTATAATTTTGAGCGTGATACATGTACAGTAGGCAGTAGTGACATCTTGCAGCATTCTGAGGTTGATCCAAGATGAGTGTGTGACTAAAGACTGGGTGAACCACTCTATACACCTCCCCAAAAAGGGCAGGATTTGAGAAAACCAGGACACAGACCAGACAAGATTAGAGAGTATGTGTGAAGTTCCAAAGACTTAGTTTTATTAGTTTAAAGTTAAATGTGATGTGAAATCTCCACATACCAAGAGGAATGGTTTAAGGAGCAGTTGGTGTTCATCTCCTATTACAATGGAAAGAGCAGGACTAGGGTGAGGCCAGATCATAGAAAAAAAAAAAAAAAAACCAGCCAGAGGAAACTGGGGACCAGAGAAAGTGACAGGATTTCCTTAATAATCAGATCTGAGAGTGACAATGTTGGGGATGGGCAGACAGACTGAGATGGTGATTCTCAAAATCCTGTCTCTCTCTTTTAAGTCCCCTGAGAGCTGCAAGAGTGAACCCTTCTCCAAGCCAACAGGGACACATTGAGTCATTACACTTAATGAGAACAGGACAGTTTCTTTAGAAGGTTGTCAAGCGCAGAACACAAAGTGAGTGCTTGTATTGGGAAAAATAACTGTCCCAATTTCAAAGGACCTTCTCAAATGACACTCCCTCCCATTGGCAGGCATTTAGGGAAATTCATGGGAAACACACAGTTCTGGGTCAGATGCTTGTAATCCTTATTTGGATTTTTGGGTAGATATGACTGATGCTGTTACCCCAACAGGGGCATGAAGGTTTTTTTTTGTTGTTGTTGTTGTTGTTGTTTTCAGTGCTGGAAATCAAACCCAGTGCCTCACACATGCTAGGCAAGAACTCTACCACTCATCTACACACCCAGCCCCATGGCCAGAAGATTCTGAATGTGGATGGGGGTTGATCTAATTTGAAGACCCAGTAGCTTGGCCCTATTCCTCCTTGAAAGTCAGGCCAAGTGTTTATGAGAACTCTTATTTTATTACTTTGATAGAGATAATTCCTAGTTTACTTCTTGTTACTCATTAGAAATGGTGCAATCTGTTCAAATATCATTTCTGGACAATGCTGTTCATAAAACCATACCAGAAGATTATTTATCTCACACCACCACATTTCCAAAATTCATTTTTTCCAATAACAAAAATGCGGTTGATGGTAATTATTCATTATTATAATTTTTTTTCCAGATGATCCAGGAACCTGTACCTCATGTGCTGCAGGGTATTACATGTAAGTCTGGCCTTCTTTTTTTTCATGACACTAACTTTTCTGCAGTTTCAGCATTACTGACTTAATCCTAAATCCAGTGATTAAAGCACAGAGGCCCTGAAGCCTGAAGCAACTCTGTCCTGTGGGCTATTAATGAGCAATTCTTGGATTTAGCAATAAAAGCCCAGCTGCTTTCTTGACTCAAAAGGAGGCCTTCTTTTTCTGGATGTCATCCAGCCTGACACTGGTGTCTAGGAATCTCGCCATGGGTGACCAAGATTCAGACCTTGCTGTTTATGGACAGACCTTAAGCATATACCAACCCCAAGGAGGCTGTTTCCAAACGTCTGCATGAAGACCCTGTCCCTAACTGGAGTTGAATGCTCCAGGGGAAACCAGGTTCCGTCTTAGCTCTGTATCATCCCATGTGTAATGAGAGACGCAGAACACTCATTTAAACGAAACACAGAAAATCATCAACCTCAATGTTCTTTGATCAAAACCTACAAAAACGAAGATAGTGTGTTTCTATGTCACCTCCTTTCCTATCTTAGTCTCCCTTCCAGCTTATATTGTTGCCTCTCCTGAAAGACAAATCAAGAAAAGGAAAGAGACGAAAGGGGCAGGAAGGCCCAGGCTGATGCCAGGCCCACAGTCCATCCCTCACTGGAGGAGTTGTGTGGTATATAAACCCTCCTGTCCATTCCTTCTATGCATCCTTCATAAAGATCATCAGGGACACTGGATCAATGTTTATCTCTGAGAAAAAGGGAAGCTCAGGAAGGTGCTGGGTCATCTCATATTACACCCAAGCTAGTGGCCAGGCTCTATCAGGTCATCTCAGCACTGGTGGGTCACTTTCTTCTGTTACCACATTGCCTGTGGGTTCACCAGATTCTAGGAACTCCAATTGCGGTTGTAGGTCAGGAGATGGTGAAAGGAGTGAAGATAATGGGACAACAACTGAAACATAGTTTTAAAAGATGAGTTAACTTTCTCATTTTACTAAGTATCCTTTAACTAAAATTTGGGATCAGAGTGTTTCATATTTCAGATTATTTTCCAGATTTTGGAATATCAAATTCAAACACAGAATTCATTATGTTTCATATACACCTTATACGCATAGCCTGAAGGTAATTTTATGTAGTATGTTTAATAATTTTGTGCATGAGACAAAGTTTCATGGTGTGAAATTTTCTTCCATGCTCAAGAAGCTATGAAGCTGGGCGTGTTTTGCCTTTTGGAATTTTGCGTTAGAGATACTCAGCCTATTCTTAGTGGTGTGGTTTTAATCCAACATTTCCAGAATGACGTTTCCTCTACATTGTCAGGGTCTCTGCACCTCTGACCCACTGATTTAAATTATTGTTTCATTTAAACAGGGAAGGAGGGGTGCAGAAGAGGCCTCAGGTTTGACTATTATAAGATAGACCAGATGACATTTAATGAGCAGAATGTAAATGGTCAGCATGTTCGTAGTCGACATTTAGGCAGCATATGGCTTTCCACAGGATCCCGAAGCAGAATGAATGGCAGAAATGCAAGTGTTCCCTGGTGAGGTCACATGGTGGGGACACAAAATGTTCTTTGAAGAACTGGACAAGGAAAGCTTAGACTTAAAGTTAGAAAACATAGGGACATGCAGCAGTGGGCAAGGAATTCCCAGTCCTTCTTATCACTCCCCATCACTCCAATCTCACACTACCCTGCCTACTTCTGCATTTTGATACCTGAATGCACCTCACCACCACCACCTGCACCTGTCACCTCCCCAACCTGGAGTGTTATCTGTGAAACTTGGGAGCCAGCCTTGTCAGTGTCACTGGCTCACTAATGAGCATGGTTCATAAAACACTTCAAGAAAGAAGTGCACTGAAATAACATGCTCTAATACCACCAAGCTAAAACACACATATTCATTTCAAGAAACACACATTTATAAACTTTGAGAATATTTAGTACTTGTGAATAAAGCTGAAGAGATGTAGTACATTAGAAATGGCTAAGGAAGAAATGCAAAGGCTTCCTGATGATGCTTTGATATTCACCAAAGGACAAGACTCAACTTCATTCTACTCTTCCTTCAAATTCCTTCCACAATTCAGTAGAGTCGGAATTACAACATTTTGCTGTACAATGAAAATAATAGATAATATATGTAAAAATTCATATATGCATATATACACACATGTATATTATATATGTATGTATAAGATTACGTTATTAATAATCACTGTTCTTAATAATCTAGTTACAGACATTCTGGTAAACTACTTGAGCTCAACACTGAGCTGTCTCAGGTCTTTTAAGTGCCAACTGCTGCCTGGTAAATCACATAAGCTATCTGTCTGGTCCCAACTTTAACTAGATTTTGAGCACCAGATCTTGAACTTCTAGAACTTCTAGTTCCCTTATCTAGAAATTTAAAATAAGTAATATTTACTATATGGGATTTGTGCAACAATTCAAATGACTTGATATGTGAGCATACTACATAAACAAACATCAGTACCCCATTCCTTCTCCCCAGCCTCCTCTCAGATGCCCTGACATAGCCCTCAGAAGTCCAGAAGTAGGTAGTGAATTGGTTTGACAGGGAAAATCACACCAAGAAATCCAGTTTCCTCCCCTGAAATCCAATTATCTACTTCTGTTACAAATGCTGCATAAAATAAAATGCTTATTTGAGACACTGAAAAAAAAAATGCTGCATAGAAATGTATGAGGAGATTAAATTGTGGCAGTTAAAAGAAAAATATCAGCACATGTCATGGAAGAAACTACATCCTCTTCCCCTAGGTTTGAGCACCATTGTTATAAAACCTGTCCTGAGAAGACCTACAGTGAAGAATTGGAATGCAAAGCATGTGATACTAACTGTGGCAACTGTGACCAGAATGAGTGTTACTGGTGTGAAGAGGGCTTCTTTCTCTTGGGTAAGTAAAAATATGGCATCATACAAAGAGAGCTCTGCAGCTCTACCCAGGCAGTGCAATAGGAGCACTCCTGTGATGGGTTTGAGAGTCCTCATATGCTGGTCCAAGAAGGAATTTTAATTTGATTTGAAAACAAACATTAGCACTTCCTTCTGCATTTATTTCTAATGCACAGTTCATATTTCACTAATTCATCTCAACTCTCCAAGCTGATGGAAACAAGAGTGAGTTGGGTAGGAAAGGGGAGAGGGGACCTAAAGATGAAAGTTTTGGCATTGAAGTCACCTGGAATATTTAGAACCATGATGCTTTTCTTGATAATTAATCCATATTATACATTCCTCTACCCATTAAGAGTTGAACAAGATCCTTTATCTTAAATTCATTGACTTGATGGAAATGGATAGTTGGGAAAGAAATATACTGTGAGTCTTCCAACTGAAGAACGAATAGCCCAGTGTTTTCAAATATTTGGGGAGAGGGAGTGAGGCAGATAGTCCACAATGAACTTCCATGGTTATCTCAACAGAGATTCATTTTCTTTGTAGTGTTTCAAGATATCAAGAATGTTGTGGTGTTCATTCAAAGCTCCTAACCCTTTAAGCCGATGGCCAGTTTAAATTCGCAGTAGAAAAAGGACTTAGTGTCATATTATTAAAATACATTCTTTGATTAAAATATGCTAAAGCCATCTTAGTTTCTTTAAAATCAAGTGCAATTAAAAAAAAATGTTTCTGAGCCAGGAGTGGTGGTGCAAGCCTGTCAATCTAGCAGCTGGGAAGGCTGAGGCAGGAGGATCCCAAGTTCAAAGTCAGCCTCAGCAACTTAGTGAGGTCCCAAGCAATTTAGCAAGACCCTGTCTTTAAATAAAATATTAAAAAGGGGCTGGGGATGTGACTTGGTGCTTAAGCTTCCCTGGGTTCAATTCCAGGTACGACATTTAAAAAAAAAAATGTTCCTGAGAATCGCTTTATAACTTGGCCTCACCTAGTGCTTCAAGCTAGGCCGGCAAGCGCCCCACCTTCATAAGTCCTGTGAGTCTTCCAACTGTCCTCCTCATGTTCTTACGAAGGTGGTAGCTGTGTGAGGGAATGTGGTCCTGGCTTTTATGGAGACCAGGGAACAGGAGAATGCGAGCCCTGCCACCCATCCTGTGAAGCCTGCACCGGCGTTGGCGATGACGAATGTAGCAGGTGCGGGGAAGGACAGCAGCTGCGGCGCGGCACGTGCGTCTGGCCAGCCAACAACCAGGTGGAAGGCAAGTTCTGGAACGGTATGTGCCTCCCAAAGAGAAATCGCAGGGGCCTAGCCACCTACGCTGTACCCCTTCCTCTTTAACCCCTATTTCTGAGTTATCCAAGAGAGGAAGGCTGTGCAGAGAAATGAGAGTGGCGTGAAACTGGAGCGGGTTTCCCAGGTCTCAGGTCGCTAGCAGTGGGAGAGGGTAGGAAACGGTGATTGGCATTTGGCCGGCAGGGGGAGCCCAAGGTGCAATTTATGAACGGTCCGGTCTTAAAGTTTCCACCTGGGTGAAGAAGACCCAAGAACCTGTAAAGAAAGTCACAAAGGGAAATGACCATTTTCTTAGCTTTTCAGAATAGGGGTTGGAGGTGTGGTTCAGTGATAGAGCACTTGCCCAGAAGGTGCAAATCCTGGGTTTGATCCGCAACAATATAAGAAAAACAATAAATTTTCAGAATGGCTTCTGTCACATTTATCTTTACATCATGCTAAAGGAAACCTTCACCCATTGGAAACTTTGCCAGTTAAACCTAACATACTGGAACTTAGACTAAAACATATGATCTTGCTGTAGGAATTAAAATTTGTCATTAATCAACTGGGCTTATTGGCATGCACCTGTAGTCCTAGCTACTCCAGGAAATACCAGGAAATAGGAACATCACTTGAGCTCAGGAGTTAAGGAGAGGAGAAGGAAAAGGAGAGCAGGAGGAAGAGGAAGATGAGGGAAAAGGGAGGAGAAGTAGGAGGAGGAGGAGGGAGAAGAAGGAGGAGGAAAGGAAGGAAGAAGGAAGAGAGAGAAAAGGGGAGGGGATGGGGAAGGCATGAGTCCTATCAGGACAAACTTGGCCTGGTTTCACAGGCCTGTAATTCCTGAGGCAGGAAGATTGCAAGTCTGAGGCCAGCCTGGGCAACTTAGTGAAGCCCTATCTCAAAAATTTAAAATTAAACAAATAAAAAGGGCTGGGGCTATTGCTCAGTGATGGAGTGCCCCTGGGTTCAATCCCCAGTATGGAGGAAAAAATCAAAAAGCAAACAAGGAAAAGAATCTGCCATCATTAGTGCTCACCTTTTAAAAGTTGCCCTCCCCAATTGTAGATGGGGAAAGCGAGGGGCACAGGGAGCAGGGAAGAAGACTGTGGGAGCTTGGACTTGAATACCAAAGACTTGCCACTATGTATTCCTCCCTGAATCTTTAGAATTGGCCTCCTCACATTTATGCCTTCATTATAGACTTCCTTGTAAGGAAATTGCATGCCTTCAGAGACCTCTGTGTGTTCAAGGTGGTTAAAAAAACAAAAACAAAAACAAAAAATTATCTTCCTGCTGGAAAAATCAGACTGACATTCTATGCAGCAATACTGGTGAAAACAAGAGGTGCTCTCCCTTTGATTTGGAGGCAAAGATCTGGTGAGGGGCCACCACAGTGCACAGGCAATGGCGGCTCAATGAGGCCGCACAGGATGAAGCTTCAAAGGGGACAAGAGAGAGGTCTCGTGCTGGTTTCAGAGGGAGCCTGTCCATGGCTGCAGTCTGCTATGACAGTTTTGCACATGTGACTTAAAGGAAGAGAACATCCCAAACCCAGCAGCCGCAGAGCACACGGGGCCGATTTCAGAGATAGAGCTGGGAGAAAATTATTCAATCCAGATTGGGATATCTTCCGTGAATTATAGCTGAACCAAAATGCTGAAAACGAGTTTGTCTGGCATTCAGGCATTTAAGAGGCAGCGCAAGCCAAGAGGGAAATAGTCTGGTGCTGTGTTTCTCGCTAAGAACATCTGTATTTTATCTGGCGTCCAGATGATGAAAAGGTCCGGGGAGCCAAGAGTCAGAGCGGACTTGATTCCCCAAATGATTACACGTCTCTTCAACTGGACTACGCATTTTGCAAGCAAAAATCAGACTTTGATTGTTCCCCTTTGTCAAAGCACCACACCCACCCCTCTACTTTTTCTGCCATCACAATGTAATGTTTTTGAAGAGAGGAAGGATTTATTCCATTTGGGGGTTTCACACTAATAAGGGATTCGGGAAGCAGATGAGAATGTTTCTCATGGCTGGACAAAAGCTATAAAGTCAATGACATAGCTGCACTTTTCCATTTCTATGATCTATGAAATGAGACATGCAGAGCATTAACAAAGAGGGAAAAAAATTATTCACTAAGCAAGGTAAGGCCACAGCTCAGCTTCCCCAGCTTAGTTTAAGCACTGAAATGGATAGTAAATGGGAAATGCATTCCATAAAGCCTTGGGAGTATTTGAGCCAATGTCTACATCTTTCTCCTGCCGTCTTCTTAAAAAACAAGGGCAAGAGTGTAACAGGAGAGTAGAGGTTTCCAGAGAGATCGAGTACTAATTAGCCACACCTTTCAGATGATGGAAAGCAGATTGCAGTCATTCTGGGTCAATTTAGAGGAAGCCCAGACGAATTACAGAGTGTTTGTGAGAGACTGGAGCTGCCTAGGTGGTACCAAGATTTTTACTAGTTTTTGTTTAAATATATTTGTTTACATTCAGGTAGGAAAGATAAGGTAGCATGAACTTCAGTCCATTCCTTCTCCCACGCTGCTCCCCAGTGGAAACAATAAGATCATGTTCACATCCAAAGATCACAACCTACTCCATGAGCACAGGTCACTGTGTGCTGAGAAAATACCCTGAAATAAAAATCCAACTGGAATTCCCTGAACTCCTTTGTTAATACCACAACTAACCAGAATGAGATCAGCAGTGAGGAGAGATACATTATTCTTTGTCAAGTACCAAAAGAGCAGGGAGAGATTGGACCCTAGTTCAAGGATGAAAATGCTCCATATATTTAATTTATGACTGGCAAGTCCTCGAACCAAGATCAAAGAATCTCCAAAGATGGCTGTTCTACTCTGTTCAAGCCATCAATGTCACTGCACACCCACAAATCATCCCCAGACCCTCTGATCCACTCACTAATGCATTGTGAAGATTATTTAGTCAAGTGTCCCTAAATGGCAGGAATAAAACCAGTCTTAAACAGGCTGTGAATGGCTTCAGCAGTGACTTAGGCATCACACAAAACCAGTGCTGGTAGAAATGTTCAAGTGCAGCAGACCCCTGGCTTCGAAAGAAGATGGTGGCCTCAGATGGTTTCCTAAAGCCATCCCTCTGTTACTGTTAAAGCATTTGGATTTTCTTAAGTGGGTCCCCCACCCTGGTTATGCTGGGAAGTCCTAGGAGTAATTCCCGAAAATTTCCCTACCCACCTACTTCCATCATTGATGAAAACCATGTTGTAGCTGGCTCTAATTACATATTCTGATGAGAGTCTAATCTACAAAGTGCAGACATGGTGAATTAACTTTTTATCTTTGACCACATCCTAACAGTTTATCACTAGCCTGTCTTGATCTTAATTCCTAAGCTTGGGGAAAGACTGGAATTCCAGAGTCAGTCACAAATACTGAAAGCCCAAGCTCACATGGGGGGAAAAATCAAGATCAATTGTGGGGCAATGTGTTGCATTACAGTAACTGAAACTTAGCACACTTTAAGATACCATAGAAATCTGACTTTAGAAAGACCTTATGTATACAGGTAGTGCCTCACTTAACTTATAAAGGAGGACACCAGTTTTAATTAACCAACCAGAATGCTGTGTGCAGAAAACACATGTCACTGGTAAGTAATTGAACATGTGGCCCATGGGTATAAAGAAACCACTTTCATTGGCTTATACTGATCATGAAACATCCAGAAATTTCCTAAGTATATTGTTAATCCATTGACAGCTTGAAATCTACATGTTGGGAGTATTTACCCATAGAAATTGGCCACAAAATAAATCAAGCTTATTGTTTTCTAGAGAGCTGTTTACCCAGCACACCATTGCTTTGGCCTCTCTCAAACTACATTAATATTTAAATTAATTATTGAAAAACCTCTCTAGAGAGATGGGCTTTATAGTCAGGCAGACCTAGGGGCTGGGGTTGCAGGTTAGTGGTACAGTGCTTGCCTAGCATACCCAAAGCCCTGGGTTCAATCTCCAGCAACTAACTAACAACAACAACAACTCCAGAGTTAGGCAGACCTGAATTCAAATCCTGGCTCTGTTATTTCCTAGCAGTGTGACCTTAAGCAAGTTACTCATCCTCTCCGAGCCTCAGTTTCCTCATCTATAAAATGAGAGCATGAAGCCCCTTCACCCAGTCATTTTAAGAATTAAATGACAGAATACATATGAATCTTCCAGAACATACATGACATTTTAAAAGTTAGTCTATTCCCTAATGCTTGAAAGCACGAATTCACTTTCAAAGCAGCATCACTTAGCTCATAAAAGAAAGCAATTTGGGGGTCTAAAGAATAATACAATTCTGGGAACAGTAGTCACAGAAAGAAGGCAGCAAATGATGATCAAGATGCCTATATGCCACGCAGAAGTCCTGAAGTAACCAAGCATGCACCTCACTATGATGTTCATAGCAGCTTTATTTAAGATAAACAGCAACAACAACAACAACACAAATAGGGTACCAATCTAAAAATGCAGCAAAAAATAAATAAATAAATGACAGCTCATACAAATAAATATTCATGCCCCCCAATGATATTTAAAAGAATTTTAATGATAAGAGAAAATACCTATAAGATTTATAATGTTAAATGCAATGCACAGTGTCAGTATTAAATACCCAGAAGATGTAAATCATCACACATCTAAACGTATATGTAATTACACTCACACATTCCATATAAAGATGGGAAATCGAAGCGCCAAAGTGTATCCAGCAGACATTTCTGGGCAGTGGGGCTATAGGTGAAGTTTATCTCCTTCATTTGCATTAAAAAGCACTTTATTTTTTTTAATAAAAAAGAAGCTGTGCCCACTGCAAATCCATCTTTGGTGAAGAGCCTGCTGCAAGAGCGACGAAGGTGGAAGGTTCAAATCAAAAGAGGTAACAGGGAAATAGGGAGGAGAAACAGACAGAGAAGAGACAAAAGAGGTTGGGCAAAAGCCAACCCAAGAAGCTGGGAGGCCAGGGGAGTGGGGTGCAGAAGTTCTGAGAGAGAAAGGAAGAGCCAAGGGACTGGGATAGCTAATGCTGGAAAAAAAAAATATGTCCATATGGGGGAATGCTATGGAGAGATCAGGAAGAATGAGGAGGCTTTTTTGTACCAAGAAAGAATGCTCTCTGAAATATTTTAAGTTTAAAGAAAGAGAGGCAAGGTGACCAACTGTATGAATAGACACTGTTGGTATTTAAAAGGTTGCAGAAAGGGTTGGGAGGGAGATTTCACAGGACATGACTTCCCTCTCTCATGAACAAGGTGATTATAGCTTATTTAATAAAAATAAAATAAAATAAATAAGTCCTGTCTTTATATAGTTTAGCTATAGTCACTTCTGAAAGATGAGTACCATACTTTTTGGTCAAAGAGAAATTTTTTCTTCTTTCTTTTCCTTTATTAAGTCCTGTCCAGTCTAGAATTTCTGGAGAGGGATAAAAAGGGAAAATATGATCAAGGTCAAAATTATTTAGATTAAGTCACCAATTTTTTATGATAACTCTAGCTGGGAATGATTTTGCTGCCTAATTGCTGTGAACTGCTTGTTCAGAGTCCCCTCTGGTGGGCACATGGGGACACTGCAGAATTCCATATCAACTTGATGCAGTAAAATATCAAATTGCTAGAATGTGAATATATGTAATTATAAATACAACTGTATGTGTGGACAGACATTAAATTTTACACAAATATGAAAAATATTGAAATTTATATCTTTTAAAATATACTGTCTTAGCATAAAAATGAGAACACCAAAAAAATCAGCCTGTGATCTGGACACATGACAGTGAAGACTTTAAGGGCACTCCCTATCTGACGAGCATTCTGGGCTATCATTGAACAACATGTCTCAAACCCTCTTGACTCATCTTTCTGCAACTTCTTTCATAGGCTGAGTGATATTGTCTGGTGAAAAGTCCTTCAGGGACAGAACTGGTCCTGTTGAGAGCTATGTGGACCTCTTTTGTGACAGTCCCATGGCAAATGTGGCTCTGCATGGGCTAATTAAGCTTTTAGCAGATCCTCCCCAAGGGGCAGGGTACACACCCCTATAGTGGAATATATTGGAAAATTAGGGAAAGTTATCTGTCCAAATTAAGAAGAAAACCTGCCACTCAGTATGTCAGCTTAGGCAATCATTTACATATATATGTACTTGTGTGTCTGTGTATATGTATATATATGTATTGTATATGTATATATTACTTATGTGTGTATATTAGTACATGCATATTTACATCTACATCTTCATGTCTGTCTATAGTTATATCTATATCTATCTATATTCATATCTACATCTATATCCACATATTATTACATTGGACCCTGATATCTTCTATAATGAAGCTCAGCAGCTTTTTTTTTTCTTTTTCCAGGAAGCAGGGCTTTATTCTGCAATATGGAGGAAACATGCTTTGCCCGCCTGCCCCAGACATAAATCATTACCACTCAGGAACTGACCAGGGGGTCCCCTTGTGGACCCCTTGCAGGGTTCTAAAGACAAACCAGAACCCGAAAATTCTTTCTTCCCATAGACATACCCGTATAATTATTTACAGAATCCACTTTTATACTGGTATCAAAAATGATACCAAAAATTTATCACTAAACTAATTTGATTATATTTTTCCCTCTTAAATTTCTTTGCTAAACATGTCTCGGTGACTTCTGCTTCTTATTTTCTTGGTGTACACTGTGTCCTTATCCTTCTTTAGGTTTTCTGCACATCTCTTGACACCTCCAGTGACTCTCTGCTCACTGAGAGACTGATTCATTCTCCAGTCTAGGCTGCAGGCCAGCTTTCTGGACCTCAGACACCTGAAGTCTGACTTTGCGGCTGCTCCTTTCTCTTCCTGGTTCCTTGTGGGGTCTGCCCCGCTTTTCTCCCTCACTTCCTCTTCTGCTGTGTGAGGCTGGGAAATCTGATTCTGTCTCAATCATAAACACAATCCTAGACATCAAGCCACACCTTCTGGTGCCACTCTGGGGATGAAATCAGAGGAGAAGGAGAGGGAAGTAAAAGGAGCTTCAGAAACAGGGTGGAACAGTGAAAACTGGGAGGGAGGAAAGGAAACTTGGGAACTACCACTCTGAGCCACTGTGTTCAGCCCTTCACACACGCTGTCTCATTCAGTTTTTACAACAATCCTATAAGGGAGGAGCCATTTTCTCTCATTTTAGAGACATGGAAAGTAGGACTCTGAGAGTTTGATTACTGTATCCATGGTTACCCTACCCGCAAGAGGCACAGCTGGGATCTGAAGGCAGGTGTGACCAGAGCCAAAACAGCCTGATTCCCAGGAAGAGAGACAGAGGAAGAAAGGAAGCGAGGAGGAGGTGGTAGAGGGGAACTATAAAATGCTAACACTTGATCAAGGGTAGAGATCACTCAGGTCACCTGTTCTAAGTTAGAATTTTTTTTTCCCAACTTTCCCCTGGGTGAGTTAGACTGATTCCTGAGCTTTAGCCAAGATCACAGTATGCATTGATTGAATAATATCAGTTAGGCTGCTCTGGGTGTCTATGAAATTGTCCCATGGAGTTGCTGAGGTGACTTCCTGGAAAAGTCTACCCATTGGATGCTCTAGGAGGGAAAGGGAAAGCAGGACATCTGGAGTATTTGTGAAGTTAATGGTGTGTGGACCTTGGACAGCCTTCAGAAAACCTGACCAACAAGATTTTGACGTTTAATAATAATTTGGGACAAATTTAAAATGAGATAAATTTAGGCTGCATTCTATGGTGGCTACTCTGAATAACACAAGGACCCAAATATTGACCAATAATGAAATCTGCTTTTCAAAAAAAAAAAGGAAAGAAAAGAAAAAGAAAACATACTTTTCCATGAGAGACACAGTGAATTCATGGTGATCACCTTGGAGTGATGAGATGGGGTCAATTAAGACTCTTGGGAGGAGTGATCACCTTAGATTTGCAGGCTCACTCATGAGTGCATACACACAGGCAAATACTTCCCCATATTTTAAATATATGAAAGAAATAGTGGAGAATCCTATAAGATCCTGCATTCTCTGTCACAGTAAGTTTGCAAAGAAAGTGTCCATAATCAGTTGCCAATGAAGGAGTAAGAGGAAAAAAAAATTGAAAGTCTACATAATGGCACGTGACAGGCACCAACAGTCAGCTCATGTAATATCAAAGAGATTTATTTTGGACTGGAAGGGAAACTAGGTTTCCCAGAAGGTCTTTTCTAACACTGTAAAACTATGAGCCTGTTCAAAGGTGAAGCCTCACTTGTTTCTTTCCCTACAGACGTTTTGAGAAAATATGAGCCTTGTCACTCTTCTTGTAAAACCTGCAATGGATCTGCAACTCTGTGCACTTCATGTCCAAAAGGTTAGTGTGGAGCACGGCAATAGTGGCAGTGGCCAAGCCAATTCACTGTCACTCCTTTATGTTGGCATCTTTGTGTATAGAGGTTTGTAGGACTTTGATCTAATCCCATCCCAAGTTCCCATCTTAGTAGCTACTATGCAAACACACAAGGGCCCAATAATCAAAACTGGCTTTCAAAGAGGAAAAAAAAAATTTATTTATTTATTTATTTATTGGGGTGGATGCTGGAAATTGAACCCTGGGCCTTATGCATGCTAGGCAAGTAGTCTTCAAACTGAGCTATATCTCCAGCCCAGAGAAAATGTTTTTTAATCCCAAAGCACAATGAAGTTATTGGTTGACTTTGCCCCACAGAATTTACTAATGGCTATGGGTAGGTACTCCATCCTCTTAAAATGCATTATCTAACTGGGCATGGTGGCAAATATCTGTAATCCCAGTGATTAGGGCTGAAGCAGGAGGATCATTCAAGTTCGAGGCCAGCTGGGCAACATAGCAAGACTGTGTCTCAAGATAAAAAGTGAAAAGGGCTGAGGATGTCGCTCAGTGGTAGAACACCCCTGGGTTCAATTGCCAGTACTGTGGGGAAAAAAGAATGACTGCCACTGTTCTTCGTTAATGATATTGAATTTAGTGATGGTGGAGGGAAGAACATGGACGTCTACATACTAGTTCAAAAAATTATTAACTTCATTCTCTGTAAAAATATTATGAATAACATAACTGAACTAGAAGGCTATTTTATTTACATGGTACATTAACAAAAAGAACGTTATACTGCCATTAAAGTGATCATTCCTAAGGCCATGTTGGAATGTGAGTGTTAACACAGTAGTCTCCACTTATCCTCAGAGAATATACTCCAAAATTCCCAATGGGCACCTGACACTGTGGATAGTGCTGAACCCAGTATATACCATGTTTTTTCCTATATATACATTCCTATTTATTTTATAAATCAGACATAGTAAGGGATTAAAAACAGGAACTATGTTGTTAAAATCTGAAAAATTTTAACAATATGCTGTCACAAAGTTATTTAGTATTTATAAATTTTTTATTTCTGGAATTTTCCATTTAATATTTTGGACCTCAGTTAGCTTGAAGTAACTGAGGCTTTGGATGGTAAAACTGTGGTTAAGTGGGAACTACTGTAGTGAGACATGATGCAGAAGTTAAAATAATAAATGTGTCAGAACTACAACCACAGAAGATATGAAAGTGTGCATCCAAAAAAACTGGAAGAAACTTCTTGGAATTTTAGAATTGAGAGTGATTTTTAATTTTTTTTAATAATAATATCTGGGTTAATTTTTCAATTAAACATAAATAAATAGATGGATCATCCATTAAAAGGGGAAGTAATTGGAGGGACTGCCTCTGTGCTCGTGTCCCTGCAGGATGGAATGGGGGAGGCAAAAGAGGAGGCCTCATCGAGTTGTGCAAGTGTGGCTGCCTCACACCTGGAAGAGATCAGCGAGGCTGATCAGCTGGGCAGAGGGAAGCCCTGCAGTGACCTCTAATGTCCCAGAAAAGTAAAAGAAACAGCAAAAGCCTCCTTCAGTTAATTTTTTTCCTAAACATTTAACTCATCTTAGAGGATTTAGCATCACCTAAGTATTTTGGAAAACTTGAAATAAATGTTCCAAATACTTGGGCTTTGGAAAGATTAAAAAAAGCCACTTGGGTGTCAGTTCTCTCCTTGGTGAGTGCACTGCTAGGACAAATACATGATCACTCTTCTCTGCCCTCTTCCCTGGATTCCTAGGTGCCTATCTGTTGGAGCATGCCTGTGTTTCCTCCTGTCCCGAAGGCACTTGGCCCTCAGTCAAGAGTGGCAGCTGTGAGAACTGTACAGAGGATTGTGCCTCTTGCTCCGGAGCTGATCTCTGCAAAAAGTGCCAGTCTCAGCCAGAACGCCCTCTCTTCCTCCACGAAGGCAGGTGTTACTCCAGCTGCCCAGAGTAAGTTTCCCTCTTTCTTTTACTTCCTGCTTGTGCCATTCTCCACAAAACCTTAGGGTAGTTCCTTCCTGTTCACCAAAGAGCTCTCCCTTTCCCTGGTGAGAGTGCCCACATAAATGGCCTTCACTGACTGACATCACTGTTGGCCCCAGTGCTGAAACTCATGGAAAGCCAGATGCTCCTTTCTCCCCATAACTATTCTGTGCATGTATTTTAACTTTTTCAAAATACAGGTATGTATCATGCATTGCATAACAATGGGGATATGTTGGAGAAACACATCATTAAGCCATTTCATTGCTGTGCAGACACGGAAGCAGGCCCTCATACAAACCTAGATAGTAGAACCTGCCGCACATGGAGACTCTATGGCATATGCCATCATATACGAGGCCTGCCATTGACCAAAAAATCTCTATGTGGTGCATGACCAATCTTCTCCCACCTGGTATAAATGATCAAGTGTTTTCAGTTTTTTCTCTTCCCCACAGAAGCAATGCTCTTATATAAGTCTCTTAAATTTTAAAGTACATGAACTAGAGCCTGGCACAGTAGCACACAACTATTACCCCAGAGACTTGGGAGGCTAAGGCAGGGGACCTAAAGTTTGAAACCAGCCTAGGCAACTTAATGAGACCCTCAGCCATTTAGCGAGAGCCTGTCTCAAAATTTTAAAAAATAAATAGAAAGGGCTGGGGTTGTAACTCAGTGATTGAGCACCCCTGGGTTCAATCCCTAGTACTACTAAAAAATAAAATAAAATAGATGAGTTATGAATTACAGTACTAAATAAATATTAATACCTGGTTACTTTGTGTTAATTCCCATAGCTTCCTTAGTCTCCTGGTTGATAATTCCTTTAGTCTTGTGAACAAGAGTCCCACTTCCAGGATTTACCCAAAAGGGAAGTGAGTAACAAGTGGAAAGTACATCGGGAAACTTTCAGCAAGATGACTGAGACAGGGACAGGCCCTATTGTCTCACATGCCTAGTTAGGAAATCCTGTATAGCTTATTTCAGGGGCCCAAAAGATCATCAGATACCAAAGGTCTTTCTTAGCATGTCCTCTCTGGCCTACTACTCTCCTGAGCTCAGTTCGTTTGCCTTAGCTCCCCAAATCAGCAACCCACCCAGATGCAACCTAAGGCAGAAAAGAGGATGTTCGTCCTTGTTTGTCTCTTTTTAAAGAGGAAAGAAAACTTCCTCAAACTCCCCTTCCTAGTCTCATTAGTCAGAAAGCATCGTTCACACTTTCCTGAACCAATCTCTGGCAAAGAGAATGGAAGTAGTCACTGCCCACCCCTTACCCCCAGGCATACATTCCAAAACTCCCTAATGTCTGACACAGTGGCTAGCACTAAGCCCTACATATAACTGCACTGTTTTTCCTACGAATTTCTGCACACATGTATACCTAGATTAAGTTTAATTTATAAATTAGGCACAGTAAGAGATTAATATCAATAACTAATAGTAAAATAGAACAATTATAATAATACACTGTAATAAAAGTTCTGATGATATAGCCTCTCCTTCTCTGTTTCTCTCCCTTTCAAAATATCTTATTATGGGAAGTACTAGGGAATGAAATTGACCAAATTATGTTATGTGCATGTACAAATATGTCACAATAAATCTTATTATTATTATTATGCACCAATAAAAAATTCACTAAGACAAATCTTATTGTACTGTACTCATTCTTTTTTAAAAAATTTATTTGTGTTTTTGTTAGTACATTATAGTTTTACACAGTTGTAAGATTCATTATTATATATTCATAAGTGCATATAACATAATTTGCTCCATTTCAATCCCAAGTACTATTCTGTTCTCTCCTCTCCTATGTCCTCTTGATACTCTTCCTTTACTCTATTAGTGTTCCTTCTAGTATTTTATTTTTTGATTAGTGCATTATACTTATACATAAAAGTGGAATTCATTGTGATGCATTACATGCACATAGAGCAATTTGGTCAATTCCATTCCTCAGTTCCTCCCCTTTGCCATCCCTCTTGCTTCCTTCTTGATCCCCTTTCTCTTCTGTACTATTCTACTTTCTATTTTCATAAGATCCCATTTTTAAAATGTATTTATTTACTCTAATTTGTTATATATGGCAGCAGAATACATTTCAATTCATTGTACACATATAGAGCACAATTTTCATATCTCTGGCTGTTGACAAAGTATAGTCACACCATTCATGTCTTCATACATGTACTTAGGATAATGATGTCCATCTCATCCCACCAGCTTTCCTACTCCCATTCCTCCTTTCTTCTCCTCCCTTCCTTTTGCCATATCTAAAGTTTCTCCATTCCTCCCATGCTCCCCCCACCCCACATCCACATTATGGATCAGCATCCACATATCAGAGAAAACATTTGGCCTTTGGATTTTTGGGGATTGGCTTACTTCACTTAGCATAATATTCTCCAACTTCATCCATTAACCTGTAAATGCAATGATTTTATTCTCTTTTAATGTTGAGTAATATTCCATTGTGCTTATATACCACAGTTTCTTTATCCATGCATCTACTGAAGGGCTTAAAGGTTGGTTCCACAATCTAGCTATTGGGGATTGTGCTGCTCTAAATATTGATGTGGCTGCGTCACTGTAATATGCTGTTTTTAAGTCCTTTGGGTATAAACCGAGGAGTGGGATAGCTGGGTCAAATGGTGGTTCCATTCCAAGTTTCCAAGGAATATCCATACTGCTTTCCAGATTGGTTGTACCAATTTGCAGTCCCGTCAGCAGTGCATGAATGTGCCTTTTCCCCCACATCCTCACCAACACTTATTGTTGTTTGTGTTCTTAACAGCTGCCATTCTATCTGGAGTGAGATGAAATCTTAAAGTAGTTTTGATTTGCATTTTTCTAATTACCAGAAATGTTGAACATTTTTTCATATATTTGCTGATTGATTGTGTATCATCATAAGATCCCATTTTTTAAGACTCCCCAGCTTTCACATATGAGAGAAAACATTCAACACTTGCCTATCTGAGTCTGGTTTATTAACTTATCATGATATTCTCCAGTTCCATCCATTTACCAGAAAAATGACACAATTTTATTTTTCTTTATGGCTGGGTAAAACTTCATGTGTAGATACACCACATTTTCTTTATCCCTTTGTCTACTGATGGGCAACTCAACTAGCTTCATAACTTGGCTATTGTTACGTATCACTATCTACACTCCCCCTTCTTGTTGTGTTGACATAAGATGATACAACAACACTTATGTAGTGAGCTGAAGCAAGATAAATGACAGGGCATTTATAGGCTACTACATAAGGGTTACTGCAATAGTCAATCTGATGACAAAAACTACCACTGACTAACAGGTGCGTAGCATACAGTGTGGATACTCTGAATGGAAGGATGATTTACATCCTTGGTAAGATGGAGCAGGATGGTACAAAATTTCATCATGCTACTCAGAAGGAGGTACAATTAAAATTTATGAAATGTTTATTTCTGGAACTTTCCATTTAATATTTTCGGACCATGGTTGACTATGGATAACTAGAACCTCAAAAAGTGAAGCTGTGGATAAATATGGTGGGGGGAACTACTGTATAAAGATGGCTTTGGCTGAAGATTTTTCCTGGAACACTGATGAACAGGAAGAACAGTGAGAGGGATTCAAGAAAGGAATTTGTAAAAACAACAGTGTCTGTATTAGGAATTAGAAACTTCATTGCCCTCTAATTAAAAGAATTTGAAGATAAAAACAACATCTATTTTATAATGACCTATTTGTATGCAGTCCTGAGAGAGATTCTACAGAGTACAAATATAAGTTGTGGTACTTACCCACAACAAGCATCCAGTTTAGTGTAGAAGTCAAACATATTCAATTCAACTGCACAGATATATATTTATCACCTAATAGGTGTAAGAATAGATACTGATAGAACATCAATATATCATATTGTATATGTGCAACTTAATAAAAATCAATTTTTCTATCAAGAATTGATATTGATCTTGATATTGGAAGTTAAGATTAACTGAAGGAAATCGGAGCCTACAAAAGGTTTACCATCAGTAAGGAAAATTCAATCAATGTTATACTTTCCAAGGCACTAGTTCACAAAGGATTAAGAGAGCTCCAGAGGAAAGAAATCACTTAAAGACAGATTTTTTTTCTCTTTTTGTTTTGTTTGAGTGCTTGTAATGTGTAGGCACCCTGCTAGGAGCTTCAAATGTATGCTTCTGTCAGTTCTCACAAGAAGACTCATTCAGGTGCTATTATTTTCCCCCATTTTAGAGATGAGGAAAGGAATGGCATGCCCAATAGAAGGTCAGAAGACTATTTATCCAAGTCAGCCATTGTATCCTCATTTACCTTTGCCATGGTTGGATGGACAGAGTTGTAATTATTATTTTGTATTTAATCATTAACCACCTTTTTCTGATTCTGTTCTGGATTCCTCAGATGTTCCAGGAATTGACCGTGCATTACAAGAAGAGATGTATTTTGATTTCCTCCAAATAGCTGACCACTCAACATTTCTTTCTCCAAGTCTAGGTGGAGCCATTCTTATGAAGCAATGGGACACTGCAGATAAGCAGCATCTAATTTTTTTTATTATTATTATTTTAGCAGTAGAAAAAGCTACTACAATTCTGGGAAGCTTGAAGACTGTGAAACATAAGTGTATGCCTCCTGTTTTGAGCACAGTGATTTGATTACTGTGGGGCCCCATCTTGGTGTTTTGGGTAGAAAAACAGGGAGACGGAGTCTGTGGAACATCTAATATGCAGCTGGTTTGGGGAGGATTTGTTGCTATTTCTGCGACATCACCCTTTGGGTTTGATCCATCTTAGAACAGCAATACGACCCGTAATAGGAACATAACATCCAATAAAACAACACCCACGTGTTCAGAATTGTTTATAGATTAGCATTAGTGGTTACTGCTTTTTCAAATATGGTAGATGTTCATGAAAGAAAAAAGTTTGAGCAGTAATATCTTTTGGGTT